TTAAATTCAGACCCAATCCATATCTCGTCACAAAAAGTTTGAGTAATATCACGTTCAACCAAAACACGAGCCTCCGAGGGTCTGTTTTAAAAATAGCTGGGACCATCCATTTTTAACGATTTTCCATATGTCGCAGCAAGGGAGAATAATATCTCGTGATTGAATAAGTGAAACTTTAAACCCCGGAAACACACCCAAACCGGGATCGTAGGGGGTTCCTCCTTAGGATCGAAATCTTTAGTCCACTTTAAGATTTTCATGGGGACACTAACAATTTTAATGACCCTGCTAGAAAAAAAACGGGTATAATCTCCATTGTTAGCCAACTGAATAAAGATATGACGCCCATCTAGCAAACCTATTTTCCAAATCCCCGTAAGTTTCATATCATCAAAATCCCTACAAATCAACTCGAACCTAGGATGCCCAAATAAAAACTTCCCAACAAGAACATGCCTAGCCGAAGATGCAAGAATACTGAATTCATCATCAGAAATAAACATAGCAAATTTACCATTTTTATTTCTTGTTTTCCAAATAAAATTGTAATCACTACCCGTCAACAAAGCTTCATGAAACTTTTGAGGAAAAAACCCCATATCGCTAACCTTAGCGGATTGGCCCCCCGAGAGAGCCTCCGCAAAAGTCCTATCTATCAAAACGAAAGAAACAAAGTACCTCACCGAGGCACATTCAGAAAAGCACAACAAAGAGCAAGAAAAAAGACACCTGCAAAAAACTAAATCGCAGAAAATAAAAATCGTAAACAGAGGCGTGAAAAACAACTTCGAAGTCACGAAGGAACAAAAAAACACAGATCGGTGGCAGGAACACAAGACAACACAGATCTAAAGACAGGAACAAAAAACATGAACGCAAGAAAAGAGCAAGAAACGCAAATCAGGAGGCAGGAAACACAAGAAAACACGACACAAACAAAGAAACGGAACAAGATCAGGAAAACCGCGACAAATCCCCGATCTAGAAAAAGAAAACGAAAACAACGACAAATCCACCAGATCTGGAACTAGGGAGTTCCCAACAAGCAAAAATACTGAAAAATCAATTAAGTATCGATTCCGGCGACCGACAAATTTTAATTTGGCAATCTACAACCAACTAACTTCTTGCATCTTTTTTATTTCTGCAGACAACTAAAATAGCATAACGTCAAGAGTCGGAATATAAGTCTTGACTAAACTATAACCCCATCACAAAATAATCAAGCCGCATCCAATCACTCGTGAATTACATGACTTAACCAATCTCAACTCGCTAAACTAGATAGTTAATATAACTAGTTTTCATAAGAGAGTCAAGGCACTTGAGGATGAAGCATGTTTTCCTCATCGAAACTACTTAAGAGACTACTCCCAGTAGGTGAAGCACAAGTGCCCCCAGGTGAAGGTCAATTCTGATTCGCTAACAAGAGTGAATGACTTGACTCGTGACAACAAAGCTAATAAGCCCCAAGATTCAAGAGGCCCATTTATCAAAATATACTAAGCTTTAGCCTTGAAGGTTCCTAACATTAAGTCATTTAGACTTGTAAGAAGCCAAGGTCAACACAACAACCCGGAGTTTTCATTATTCTTCTGGTAGAAATCCAATCAAAGGGTCAAGAGATCCGGGAAATTAAATTTATACATAAATACTATTGTATAAGTTTTTTCTATGCGTATTCTTGGGCTCACCCACAGAAGTAACTAAACGGAGCCCACTTGCCGAAGCAGCTTAAATAAGCCCACCCACCTGCCGAAGCAGCTAAACTAAGCCCACCTGCCAATATGGCTAAACTAAACCCAACTAACAAAGTGGTTGAAATCATCTCTTTTACTCATCTTGAGCAGTTTGCCTAGAGAGATACATCTACCGAAGATGGTCATCATTTCCAGCAAAGACATAGGTCCATACATCTTTAAGAGTGTTGTCTGACTTTCCGTATTATTGTCTTTTTGTCAAGTCACCATGGATGGAAGTCGTGCAATACTAAATATATCTTTGTTATTTTTCCTCCTTATATAAAATAAAAGTCAAGCTAAGAGAGAGCGGTGCTCCCTTTCTTTTCTTCTCTCTCTCTATCTCTTTCTTCAAGAAAACCATGTAGCTCGAAAAACCTCCGGCGAATCTGATATTTCAGCTTGCCAGAGGCTTGAATTCAACAAATAATCTCTGAGACTTCTTTTCGATCATACACACATCTTTCTCTTCAACATCTCCTCTACAAAAAGCAAGATCTTCACTAGTCTATATTTACTCACAAATGATGACCGTGCATCGTAAAAAGTTTAAAAAATTTACATATCAAATGCCTAAGCTTTCAATACTTTTTCATCCGAAGTGTTATGAATATGACTATCAAACTTTTAAGTGTTAGATGTGTAAATGCATAAGAGTTGCATGGTAGGCTTGTAAATTTCCCTTCAAGTGGAAATAATAAATTTATAAAATTAAGAGAAAAATCCTTGAAGTTTAAAATTTAAAATTATTATTTTTTATTAAAAATTATCAACTCAGAGTATTTTTAAGTGAAAAATATAATATTCTTATTATCAATAAAATAGTAAATTAATGTATTTGCAGGAAGACTTTGTTGTGCTATTTGAGATTTAGGCGATCTTTGAATCATATGTTTGGTAAACATATAACATTTGAATTTTATATATGTTGTTGCCTTGTTTAATTTTCTTTGTAATATGTTTTATAACTTCAAGCATTTGCTTAATGTATTTGCAGGAAGACTTTGTTGTGCTATTTCAGATTTAGGTGATCTTTGAATCATATGTTTGGTATACATATAACATTTGAATTTTATATATGCTGTTGCCTTCTTTAATTTTCTTTGTAATATGTTCTATAACTTCAAGCATTTGTCATTCAATCCTAATATAAATTTATCCACATTTTTAGATACAAAATATGCTCCACTTCACCATGTAGCGGGTTTATTATATTTGAAAATGGGGAGAAATAAATGGCAAAATATATATATTGTTTAAATATGTGAGCTTAGAGCCACAATCATCTCATATGTTATAAAAAAATATAAAAAAAAAATCCAATTTTAATATTTTATTCAAGAAAACAAACAAAAAGTATGTGAATTATATGTGTGGAGAGTATCGTGATAGCTTCAATTTGCATAAATGTTTGGTTGGAAGAATTTGTAGTATACTATAATTTTTTTACAATAATTTTAGAAAATAATGTATATCATAGAAAGAATTATAGATACAATGTAAAATATGAATGAATTTGAAATTCACACCTTGGTTTATTTTGGTTGAATTTAGAAGTCGGCTTATTTGGCCGAATTTGAGTTACTTCATAAATGTTATCAAAAAACTGTTGTCCCCATTGCCCCGCAAGTTGTCCGTGTTACCGTGTTGCCGAATAAATAAAAATTTTGAATTATATTACTTTTAATCTACTTCAAACCAATATATATATATATATATATATATATACACTTTCATAAAAAATATAGCAGTTTCTCATATTAAGAGCTTATCTTTGGTATTAATGAAAACTTAAATTAACATGTCCACAAATATATTATGTAAATATTAAACTGCTAAAATAGTCTTTCACAATTGTTTTTCACATGGGCTTATTTTAATCCCAGAATCTAAAAAAATGCCAAACATGCATGGGCTTATTTTAATCCCAGAATCTAAAAAAATGTCAAACATGTATAAATTGAGGCCGAAATTATTTCAACTCATATTAAATGACTGGAGACTAAAGTGATATTTTTATAGACTCTAGACTTGAATAATCCCAGACAAAATTTAGTGGACTATTTTGACAATTGATACTCATATCGTTTTATAAATAATAAAAATAAGAAACTATTTCTTTTACCCATGTGGGGCAAGTCTGCCTAGAGAGATACATCTACCGGAGATGATCATCATTTCTAGCAAAGAGATAGGTCCGTACATCCTTAAGAGTATTGTATGAGTTTCCGTATTATTGTCTTTTTGTCAAGACACCATGGATGGAAGTCATGCAATACTAAATATATCTTTGTTATTTTTCTTCCTTATATAAAATAAAAGTCAAGCTAAGAGAGGGGTGCTTCTTTTCTTTGACTGTGATATCAGCTTGATGACGGTGTTATGGCGGTGGCAGGACTCGAGAATCCTCTTCAGCTTAGAGCTACCTTCAATTTTTCATCCATGTTTAGATCTCTTTAATGAATTGGGTGTAAGTCTAATTATAAATTTTGGGAATAGTACCGTCGGTAAATATTTTCTTACTTCAAACCACTCCATGGGACGACCTTAATCAGATGATATTTTATAAATATATGAGTGGTAAATATTTTCTTACTTCAAACCACTCCATGGGACGACCTTAATCAGATGATATTTTATAAATATATGAGTGCCTTAATGACGAATTAAGTGATGTTGGGCTCATCAGAATATAATCGTTGAGATCTGTGATTTGACTTTAAACTTGTTAGATTTAGAGATCATTTGGTCCCTAAAAACTGTCATAAATTTTCTTATTATATTTTAAGTTCATAATCTAGACTCACTCTGAGATCTGTGATTTGACTTTAAACTTGTTAGATTTGGAGATCATTTGGTCCCTAAAAACTGTCATAAATTTCCTTATTATATTTTAAGTTCATAATCTAGACTCACTTAGACTTGGATCGTATAATTTTTCACATCATTTGGTTCGCCTTACAAAGACAATTATTTTGAATTGGAGTGCTTGTAATTCTTGATTCAATATTTTAAGCTCCCAATCTTAATGTATGTTAAGATTCATGTTGATCAAGATAGTTTTATTGGGATATTTCATTATAAATGTAAACATTAAATATTAGATATTAGATATATAAATTCATTAAAAAAATATGTGATATGTATGTAGAACTCTCATAAATTATACAAACTCACCTCACCGTTTATTTTAACATTTAAAATTATTTTAAGTCCCAAGTCATTAATCGTCTCACAACATTTTAATCCTTTAATTTACTTGCGAAGCGAAATTCTCGTTCCGTAAAACAGTGTAAGCCGGCCCTAAGCACGCGCCCCTCTTCCTGCATAACCCTATCAAGCTCCCGCTGTCGCTGGCAATATGGAGAGACCCGTCGTCCAATAAGGAAAAGTATACAAACCGGCCAAGAGGAAGAGCGAGTTTTCTAGCACGCGATCAAACGGGAATACCCTGAAAATTTCATCGTTGGAGATCGAAGATGTGGCGCAGAGTTTCATCTCAGCTCCAAGCTTTCGCTCCTTGGCGATCAGCCATTCAAATTCACCGTCCGGCTGTCGCCGGAAACGCCCTTCGGTGCGGAGCCTTGAATTCGACCCAAAGGATTGCTCGCCTCTTCTCCGTCGATTCTGGTGCGCTCTCCCTTAACTACACAATTCGATTTTACTTGGCTGGAAACAGAGTTGATGATTTAATGTTAATTCCTTAGGTAATGCGCCGCCTCCCAGTAAGAAGAGGGTAGAAGACATCATGCCGATTGCCACGGGGTTGGAGCGGGAGGAGTTGGAGGCGGAGCTTGAGGCGAGTGAGCCGTGCCTTGTTGAATCTAAGATTTTCTGTTGTGGGTCTTATATTTTTTGAGAGTTTGATGGATCAATGGGATGTTTTTATTCGCTGGTGCAGGGAAAGAAGCGGTTTGACATGGATGCGCCTGTCGGACCATTTGGCACCAAGGTTAGCGACATAGGAATTGTGGATCTGTGAATCATTTCGTGAGCTGTTCTGGATCTGGCATTTGTGTTTATTGTTTTATGCTGATGCTTATCATTTTGAGCAGTTTGATTGTTTTTTTTTAATTATTATCTTTTTCTTTTTATGGAATTCTGTTTACTTGGTTCTAGTTTCTTACCAAGGCATTCCTTTTTTCCTTTACCACTGATGTTTGCAGTATTGCACTGTAAAATGTGTTAGTGAAAAGTGTTTTTATGGAACCCAAATTTGTTCTTGAATCACGTCCTAGGAATAGAGCATAAATGAGGAGAGAGAAAGAGAATCTTTTATATTGAGGAACCCGATAAAGGGAAAGGAGATGAGAGGAAAATGTCCTGGCATTGAGGTTTCTTCTTTTTTGAACCAAAATATAAAAAAGTCCTCATTATATGTAATTTTTACTATTTATAGTTGTTATAACTTCGCACAAAAAGATGTATTTGGGCATATCTTGCTAAGGTTTTGAGATGTGGGTCCCTCAGATTATGGTATCCTTTGCCTTCGTGGTATGTTGTCTTGAAAATGTTGGCCTCAAGTTAGTTCCCACAACAATGAGTTTCTCGGCTAACTTTGAACATTCGACCTGGATAGACCACTTGCTTATCCCTAAATATGTGTCCTCGACCACATGACCATCTATCACCCGACTTCGGTCACTTGGTCTTGCTTAACATTGGCCGCTCGACCATGATCAATTACCTAGTCTTGATCAGGTCACTCGGCCTCAGGCACTTCGGTTTGTCTTGTAGTTACGTTCGGCAATCCCTTCTACTATTTCTGCTCACCTAGGATCGTTCTCGACGATTGTCATATTTTGAGGAGTCTAATTATCGATGATCTAGACTATTCGATGCATGTTGACCTGGACGATGACTTTTTCATCATACAATTTTGATCGTTTTGGTTGCAAGCTTTTAGTAACTAAAATGAAAAACTTTATTTTTTTCTTATTTATCGCAATTTGCACTGTGTCAACTACTCTAGATACCCACCAAGCTTTTCAATCTTAATTTAATGATAAAACTCTAAAATTTTTTCTTTAGTATGTAGCGTGAATCTCTTGAATTCATTTAATTCAACAACAACAACAACAAACCCTTAATCCCACTATGTGGGGTCGGCTACATGAATCCTTTTTCTCCATTGCGTCCTATTTAGTGTCATATTTTCATTTAGTTCTAGTAAATTAAGATCATTTTTAATATAATAAGCCCAAGTCTTCCTAGGTCTACCTCTGCCTTTCTCAAAACAAGTCGAATCTAAAACATCTACTCTCCTAATCGGATCATCAGATGATCGACGTTTAATGTGACCAAACCATCTAAGATGACTTTCTTTAATTTTGTCCGTCGCAGGAGCTACAACAACCCTATCACGAATATATTCATTTCGCATTTTGTCTCTAAGTGTAAATCCACTCATCCACCTAATCATTTTCATCTCGGCAACACTTAAATTACTATTATGCTTCTCTTTTAAAGGCCAACATTCAGCGCCATAGAGCATTGCAGGTCTCACCATCGTCTTATAAAATTTTCCTTTCAGTCTAAGAGGTACTCTTCTATCACACAAAAGGCCCGAAGCATTCCTCCACTTCAACCAACCAACTTGAATTCTACTGTTAACATCACAATCTATATCACCATCGCTTTGAACAACGAACCCAAGATATCTAAATCGCTCACACTTTTTAATAATTTGATCACCCAAAATCACACTTCTGTCATTAGAGCTATTACTACTAAAATTACATTCCATGTATTCAGTTTTAGTTCTCCTTAAACGAAGGCCTTTAGACTCCAATGTAGACCTCCATAATTCAAGTTTTTCATTTAATGTGTGATAAAAAAATATTAGTTTTCCATTTACATGCAATTTTATACGGCAAATTGGGGCATCACATAATGCAAAGTTTTGAGTTGTTTCTTGCAGAGATTACTTTCAGAGGACTCATTTTCGGGTGAAGAATTAATAGAAATCTCGAGGTTCATAATTAATTCAAATACACTTTTTGAAAATTTTTCAGGTCTTTGTCTACACTAACGTTGGAAATGAGTAAGTTTGTAGGTTTTATTATTTGAATTTTTAAAGAGGATGCCTTTTTGGTAAGGATAAGAGATTCTTGTGTCTCTTTATTTTTCTCTTAAGGGTTGTTCTAGCCATCTCTCTACATTCTTATCTTTTTATGGACTTTTTACCTCTGGTTCATACCAATGATTGTGATCCATTAACTTTGATTCTTTCGTCGGGCCTTACTTTACTGAACAAAATTAGAATAGTTTGAAATTTCATTTTTTATTTCTTGTTCGTTACGAACATATCCTCTTAACATTGATTATGAGGATGATTGCAAAGGATATTTACATTAGATGCCTTGTTTTATGCTTTTAGTATATGTTTTTGTTCCAATTAATTTGACACCTATTTAAATAAATAAAAAAATTAGAATATTGGAGAAAATGTCTAGAAAATAAAGATATTAGAATTATCAAAATAAAATTTTTGTATATGATGCTACCCATTATTAAGAACTAAACTAATATTTAGGTGCTGGTAGATTTAATTACCCTGAATCTATTTGCAGAAGAATGGTGATGAAATTTCTAGATTTCAGGTTGGATAATTAAAATAGTGAAAAATCTCATAAATATTATGTGGTGTGAGAATCTTATATAAATTAAATGTAAATTTTGTAAAATTAACATTAGATCTTCAATGTTGAATGGATTCGAGTGTCGGGAATTAAAAATCACTTACAACTAAATTGAGTGATAGATGTGAATTATAAGGATAATGTGTGACTAATTCACAAAGGATAATATAAGAAATGATTTTATTAATGAAAATATTATCGTAAAATCTATTAAATTTTAGATAGTTGACAAAGCACAAGTAATTTAAGTTATCAAACCAACACAAATCCATCAAGATAACTAAAAAATAAATCTTGTTCAATCTACAGAAATTTCTCAGATGAAGACTTCATTCGATTATTAACAGTTGACAACTTTTAGAGAATAAATTTAATATTAAACTATTGTATGGAAGTATATTGTTCAATGTTTTATTATTATTATTATTCCTTTTATGGATTTCTGTTTACTTGGTTCTAGTTGCTGGCCAAGGGTTTTCTTTTTTTCCTTTTCTACTGATGTTTGCAACATTGCACTATTATAGATGTTACTGATGTCTATGATTGTTCTTTTGGAGGAAATTTGTTGGGAAAAATGTGTTAGTGAAATTTTTTTTTATTGAACCCAAATTTGTCGTTGAATCACACCCAAATAATAGAGCGTAAGTGAGAAGAGAGAAAGACAATGTATTGAGGAATCGGAGAGGAACCTGAAAAGGGGAAAGGAGATAAGAGGAAATTGTTAGGTTTCTTCCTTTTTGCACTAAAAGATAAAACAAGTCCTCATTATATTTAATTTTCTCTATTTATAGTAGTTTTACCTTCATAAAAAGACATATTTAGGCCTATCCCGCCAAGATTTTGTGGTGCGGCTCTCTTAGATTATGGTCGCCCTGGCTTTCATGGTATGTTATCTTGAAAATGTTGGTCTCAATTTAGTTTGTGTAAAGGCGAGTTGCTCTGCTAACTTCCGACATCTGACCTCGGATATTTAGGCCATTTGTTTTTCCCTGAATATTCGTCCCTGACCACTTGATCATCTATCAATTGGCTTTGGTCACTCGGCCTTGTTGAACCTTGGTCACTCGACCGTGATCACTTAGCCTTGATCATTTGGTCTTAGGCACTTCGCTTTCCTAACCTTTAGTTACGTCTGTTGATCCCATCTACTATTTCTGTTTGCCAGGGATCATTTTCGCTGAGTGATACATTTTGCGCTGTCTGATTCTTGATGATTTAGACTATTCGATGCTTGATGACCGAGAAGGTTACTTTTTTGCTATACAATTTTGATCATATTGGTTGCAAGCTTTTTGTAGCTAATAATGAAAAACCTTTATTATGTTCTTATTTATTGCAATTTTCGTTGTGTTTATTCCTCTATATACTCACCAAGCTTTTCAATCTTCATTATTAACCTCTAATATTTTTACTTGCATATGTAACATCAATCTCTCTTGAATTTTTTTAATCTGTGAAAAAAATATCAAGTTCCCATGTTCATGCAATTTTAGATGGCCAGGCATCACATAATTCATTCAGCCTCCACTGTAATAAGCGTGATAATTCCAATATATGCAACAATGGGAAAATTTTCAATGCTTTCAGCTATTTATTGTAGAGCTTACTTTAAGATGACTCATTTTAGGGTGAATAACTAATAGAACCCTGATGTTGATAATTATTTCAAATACATTTTTGAAAATTTTTTAGGGTTTTATTTACACTAAATGTTGGAAAGCAGTAAGTTCCTTAGGTATATTTATTTGAATTTTTATAGAGGGTGCCTTTTTGGTAAGGATATGAGATTGTTGTGTCTTCTTCCCCAGGGTTGATCTAGCCATTTCTCTACATTCTTATCTTTCTATGGTCTTTTTCATTCTAGTTCATACTAATGGATGGGATCCCTTCACTTTGATCCTTTCGTTGGGCTCTATTTTACTGAATAGAACTAGAATACTTTGGAATTTCATTTTTTATTTCTTGTTCATTAAGTACATTTCTTATTACATTGATTATGAAGATGATTATAAAGGATATTTATAGTAGATGCCTTGTTGTGTGCTTTTATTATATGTTTGTATTCGGAATAATTTGACACCTATTTTACTAAATAAAATTTAGAACAATGGAGAAAATATCTAGAAAATAAAGATGTTAGAACCATCCTAATAAATTTTTGTATATGATACTACCCATTATTAGAAATTAAACTAATATCTAGGTGTGATAGATTTAACTACCTTGAATGTATTATACAAACGAATGGTGATATAATTTCTAGATTTAAGGTTGGATAATTAAAATAGTTATAAATCTCAGGAATATTATG